TACCACTCTATTTTCCAATTTTTTTCTTCAGTAGAAATAAGATCTTTATGACCTGTTCTTTATTATAAGCACATAAACAAACAAACTTGGTGTTCTCTTCTTTTTAACTCTTCTCTGTTCTTTTATTCTTTTTCTCTTTTCAGAATTACTCTATCAGTGATGGGCTTTCTAGGTCTCTCCTGGTATCTCAGTGTAGAGAGACAGAAAGGCAAAATAATCAGTAAACCAGGGTAGGGCTGGAGGTCAAAATACAAATAAAGGTCAATGAAAACTGCCCCCTCCCCACACTGGGGAGATCTAAGGGCTCTCATTTCTGTCATGCCAGCCCACCAATTTCCCCCAAACCAAAGCAGATAGTTCGTAAGCAAAAAGTCCCCTTGTCTGATAAACAGCACTTACATCCGCCTGCCAAATGGAAAGGTTAAACCACAGTCTGGGCCCCAGACTCTGAGATCCTGCAATGGGGCCTGCCTGCCTGCCTGCTAGGGATGATCCCCTACAAGGTCCCTGGGTCCTCACTTCCTTTGAGCAGCAATTTGGCCATCCTGAACAAGCCCACCACCAGTCTGAAGCCACATGCCCTGGGATTCCCTTGCTCCCATAACTGTACATTTTCCCTCATCACCAAATATGGTTATCTGTCCGTGGTTGCAGCTCAAGTTGGGGAATGAACAGCAAGCAGAATAACTCAATTTAGCAACATCCTTTCCTCCCCATGCCAGTGTATACTTGCTCCTGGCTGAATCTGCAGAGCCAGGGCACAACAAGAAATAGCTCTGATGCCATCTTTCTTCTCTCCTCCACAGTCTCATCTCCCACAGTGGGCAAGCCCTACAAGTGTAACTACTGTGGCCGGAGCTACAAACAGCAGAGTACCCTGGAGGAGCACAAGGAGCGGTGCCATAACTACCTACAGAGTCTCAGCACTGAAGCCCAAGCTTTGGCTGGCCAGCCAGGTAGGGCTGTCGATGTACTACTGGGGAATGAAAGGGGATGGTGAGAGGGAGTGCTGGACAGGGGTGACTCCAGCATCTCCCCCACCGAGGGATGAAGTCTGTGGAACAGGGGATGGTTACCCAATAAATCTGCTAACCACCCCATTCCAGGTACCCCAGTTGGTGCACAGCCTTGTCTGTGGTGGGTGCCTTAGGGAGATGGAGAGGTAGAGGAAGTTTGGGTCTATATCCTTAGTCTAATGGGAGAGAGAGAACACAAGAGGTATAAAACAAAAGGCCAAAGCCGTGTGCAGTGGCTCATACCTGTAATCCGAGCACTTTGGGAGGCCAAGGCAGGCAGATCACGAGGTCAGGAGTTCAAGACCAGCCTGGCCAACATAGTGAAACCCTGTCTCTACTAAAAATACAAAAATTAGTTGGGCATGGTGGTGTGCACCTATAGTCCCAGCTACTCAGGAGGCTGAGGCAGGAGAATTGCTTGAACCCAGGAGGCAGAGGTTGTGGTGAGCTGAGATCACGCCACTGCACTCCAGCATGGGCAACAGAGCAAGACTTCATTCAAAAAAAAAAAACAAGGGCCTGATGTATATGATTGTCCCCAAATGATCTGAAATGTTGCTGGGGTGAGCTTTAGGTAGGGTAAAGTAAACAGAGCCCAGTTTCCCAGGCATCTGGTATGACCTTCCTTGGCTACTGACCTGCTGGTTTTCTCCAGGCAAAGGTTGCTGGGCCAGTGCTACCCCTACTCAACTACTACTACCTGTCCCCACCTCCTTCCCACTAGGTGACGAGATACGTGACCTGGAGATGGTGCCAGACTCCATGCTGCACTCATCCTCTGAGCGGCCAACTTTCATTGATCGTCTGGCCAACAGCCTCACCAAACGCAAGCGTTCCACACCCCAGAAGTTTGTAGGTAAGAATCCAGTTGGAAAGAGATATTGGCTTAAAGCCACAGCTCAAATACGCCTGAGCTGTGTGGTCTGGAGATTTGGTTTAGGGAAAGAAAGCAGTCTGGTGGCCTCTGATACTCAAATCTATCCTCAATACAGGAGGGAAGTAAAGAGGGAGGAGGTACTCAGAGTGGAGAGGGGTTGGCACTGAAAACTCTTGTGGTGGTTGTAAGGGACAGAGGTTGAGGGATCAGGCTGTCTCTGTTTTTGAGAATTAACAAGAGCTTCAGTCTGTCTGTGTGGGCCCTTAGAGAGTGGGAGAAAGGAAATGAGTATGTGGTTCCCCCACTCCCCAGCACTAGTCATTAGCTCTCTAAGGACCTGGAGCTTTATGGAGAGTAATAAAACGAAGTATTAAACATCAGTGGGCTGGGATTGAGTCCTTCTCTAAGATTATAGCCTAGAGTCAGGGAGCAGTCCCACAGAGACCCTGGAGAAAGTAAAGCAGTAAATAATGTTACATCCAGCCCCACAGGTAAGAAAACAAAGAAGTAATTCTGAGAGTGTAGGAATTCTCCAAACCCAGCCCTGCTGAGTTCCTCTTCTCCACAGGCGAAAAGCAGATGCGCTTCAGCCTCTCAGACCTCCCCTATGATGTGAACTCGGGTGGCTATGAAAAGGATGTGGAGTTGGTGGCACACCACAGCCTAGAGCCTGGCTTTGGAGGTTCCCTGGCCTTTGTGGGCGCAGAGCATCTGCGTCCCCTCCGCCTTCCACCCACCAATTGCATCTCAGAACTCACACCTGTCATCAGCTCTGTCTACACCCAGATGCAGCCCCTCCCTGGTCGACTGGAGCTTCCAGGATCCCGAGAAGCAGGTGAGGGACCTGAGGACCTGGCTGATGGAGGTTCCCTCCTCTACCGGGCCCGAGGCCCCCTGACCGACCCTGGGGCATCCCCCAGCAATGGCTGCCAGGACTCCACAGACACAGAAAGCAACCACGAAGATCGGGTTGCGGGGGTGGTATCCCTGCCTCAGGGTCCCCCACCCCAGCCACCTCCCACCATTGTGGTGGGCCGGCACAGTCCTGCCTACGCCAAAGAGGACCCCAAGCCACAGGAGGGGTTACTGCGGGGCACCCCAGGCCCCTCCAAGGAAGTGCTTCGGGTGGTGGGAGAGAGTGGTGAGCCTGTGAAGGCCTTCAAGTGTGAGCACTGCCGTATCCTCTTCCTGGACCACGTCATGTTCACTATCCACATGGGCTGCCATGGCTTCAGAGACCCTTTTGAGTGCAACATCTGTGGTTATCACAGCCAGGACCGGTACGAATTCTCCTCCCACATTGTCCGTGGGGAGCATAAAGTGGGCTAGCAACCTCTTCCTCTCTCCTCAGTCCACCATTCCACTACCCTGCCTGTAGGCATCTATCCCTGTCCCCACCATTTCCCAAGGAGTTTTCCTTTGTAGCCCCCACTACTGGCTACCTGACCTCACACCTGACCCTGATCGCTCCTCACCTATTCTCCTCCTCTATCCTGACCGATTTAAGCATTGTGATGAAACAGGTCTTTTACTTATGTTTTTCCTTTTTCTCTTCTCTTATCCCAGCATACAGAGTTATTTATTAATTAGTTGATTTTTTTGCCTTTTTTTTTTTTTTTTTTTTTTTTTTTTTTTTTTTTTTTTTTTTTTTTTTTTTTTTTTTTTTTACTTATATCAGTTGCTTGCCACTCCCCCACCCTCCTGCCCACAGCTCCTTTCCACTTTAAGCCAATTTTTCTCTTAGATCTTCCAGCAGCCCCAGGGGTAGGAAGCTCCTCTTAGTACTAAGATATTTCAATTCTTCTTGCTTTAAGTCCTCACCTTTTACATTACCTAATCCTTCAGTTTTGATGCTGATACCTCCCCCTGGTCCTACCTTAGCTCTGTGGCATTATGTCTCCTCTCTGGGACTCTTCAACCTGGTACTCCATACCTCTTGTGCCCTCTCACTTTAGGCAGCTTGCACTATTCTTGAATGAATGAAGAATTATTTCCTCATTTGGAAGTAGGAGGGGCTGAAGAAATTCTCCCCAGGCACTGTGGGACTGAGGGTCCTCTTGACGTTCCTCTAGTAATACGAGTTCTCAAAGCCTACATTCAGGATCTCCCTCTAGGGTGTGATAGATCTGGTCCCTCTCCTTGAACAACCCTCCACACTGCTCTAGTCCCTTCAACCTATGGGTCTATTCAGTGGTGGCTTTTCTCTCCTTGGAGTGCCCCAATTTTATATTCTCAGGGGCCAAGGCCAGGTCTGCAACCCTCTGTCTCTGACACATTGGGAGCCACAGGTGCCTAATTAGGAACCAGGACATGGGAAAGGGGTGGGTCAAAATTCTTCTCTTTCTCCTTCACCCCTCAAACTTCTTCACTAGTGACCTTCCTAGGCTCTCAGGGGCCCCTCCAGTCCCCATCCTATGAGAAACTAGTGGGTTGCTGCCTGATGACAAGGGGTTGTCTCCGCCCCTCAGTCATGCTGCCTTCTGCTGCTCCCTCCCAGCAGGATTCACCCTCTCATTCCCGGGCTCCTGGGCCCTGTTCTTAGGATCAGTGGCAGGGAGAAACGGGTATCTCTTTTCTCTCTTCTAATTTTCAGTATAACCAAAAATTATCCCAGGATGAGCATGGGCATGTGCCCTTCACCCCATTCCACCCTTGTTCCAGCAAGAATGGGATGGGTACAACTGAACTGGGGTCATCCTTTACTGTCCCCTTCTGCACTCAGCTCCCAGACACAGGGTAGAGGGGGTACTCCTCCTGGCTACTGCAGAGACCCCTGGCTATTTGAGTAACCTAGGATTAGTGAGAAGGGGCAGAAGGAGATACAACCCCACTGCAAATGGAGGTCTCTTCCTACAAGAGTTTTCTGCCCGAGGCCACAGCCATCCCACTCTCTGCTTCCTTGAGATTCAAACCAAAGCCTGTTTTTCTATGTTTAAAGAAAAAAAAAAAAAGTAAAAACCAAACACAACACCTCACAAGTTGTAACTCTTGGTCCTTCTCTCTCTCCTTTTCTCTTTCCTTCCTTCCCCTTTCATCTTTCTTTCCACATGTCCTTTCCTATTGGCTCTTTTGCCTCCTACTTTTCTCACTCCCTATCAGGGATATTTTAGGGGGGATGGTAAAGGGTGGGCTAAGGAACAGACCCTGGGATTGGGGCTCCTAAGGGCTCTGAAAGGAGTCTACCTTACCTTCTTATGGGAAGAGAGACCCTAAAAAACTTTCTCCTCTTTGTCCTCCTTTTTCTCCCCGACTATGAGGTTTCCCCAAGAGAACCAGATTGGCAGGGAGAAGCATTGTGGGGTGATTGTTCCTCCTTGACAATGTAGCAATAAATAGATGCTGCCAAGGGCAGAGAATGGGGAGGTTAGCTCAGAGGAGAGTGGTCTCTAGAGAAAGGAAGAATCCTCAACAGCACCCAGGGGTGCTAGCTCCTTTTTAGAATGTCAGCAGAGCTGAGATTAGTTTCTGGGCTTTTCCTGAACTATTCTGGTTATTGAGCCCCTTCCTGTTAGATCTACCCGTCCCACCTCTTCTGTGTCTGCTGTGTATTTGGTGACACTTCATAAGGACAAGTCCCTTCTGGGGTATCAGAGCCTTAGGGTTCCTCCATCCCCTTCCCCAGTCAGCTGTGGCACCTGTAACCTCCCGGAACATGAAGGACTATGCTCTGAGGCTGTACTCTGTGCCCATGAGAGCAGAGACTGGAAGGGCAAGACCAGGTGCTAAGGAGGGGAGAGGGGGCATCCTGTCTCTCTCCAGACCATCACTGCACTTTAACCAGGGTCTTAGGTACAAAATCCTACTTTTCAGAGCCTTCCAGCTCTGGAACCTCAAACATCCTCATGCTCTCTCCCAGCTCCTTTTGCATAAAAAAAAAAGTAAAGAAAAAGAAAAAAAAATACACACTGAAACCCACATGGAGAAAAGAGGTGTTTCCTTTTATATTGCTATTCAAAATCAATACCACAAACAAAAAACTTTCTAAATAGACACTTTTCCAGACCTTTTTTTTTTGTGTCAGTGTCCAAGCTGCAGATAGGATTTTGTAATACTTCTGGCAGCTTCTTTCCTTGTGTACATAATATATATATATAATATATATATTTTTAATCAGAAATTATGAAGAACAAAAAGAAAAAATAAACACAGAAGCAAGTGCAATACCACCTCTCTTCTCTCTCTCCTAGGGTTTCCTTTGTAGCCTATGTTTGGTGTCTCTTTTGACCTTTACCCCTTCACCTCCTCCTCTCTTCTTCTGATTTCCCTTCCCCCCCTTTTTTAAAGAGTTTTTCTCCTTTCTCAAGGGGAGTTAAACTAGCTTTTGAGACTTATTGCAAAGCATTTTGTATATGTAATATATTGTAAGTAAATATTTGTGTAACGGAGATATACTACTGTAAGTTTTGTACTGTACTGGCTGAAAGTCTGTTATAAATAAACATGAGTAATTTAACACCTCTGGTTGTTTTCGCAGACTTCCTTGTCTTTGTTTTCTACAAAGAGGGAGGGGTCCTCCTTGCAGCATCTTGTACCAAGTACTGAACGGTTTAGGAGGTGAACCAAAACAAAAATTTTCAGCCTAGAATGGGAAATGGAGGAGATTTTCCTACCAGGAAAGAGTGCCTTCAGGATAGGAAAGAAAGTCTGACTTGCCTGTCTGCCCAAAATACAAATTAATCAAACATTTGTTGAGTACCTACTATGCACAAAACATTTTTTACTGGTGAAAAAATAAAAGCCCAAGAGAGAGTAAATACCTTGTCCAAGGCTCATCAGCCAGTAAGTGATAGAACCAGAATTTGAACCCAGGGGTGTGTGACTCCAAAACATGTGTTTATCCCTTTATGCCAGGGAATGCAGCCAGTGAAATGTCTAAGCTAGAAAAATCAGAAGTAGGAACATCAATTTGTTTCTGTCTTGAATATTAACTACTTTCTGTTTCCTTCATTCTGAACTTTTTTCTGTTCTCTTCCATCTACTGCATTGCTATTCCATACACTAATGTCTGCCTTCTGTTTTCCACGAGACTACAGTGAAGTGAAAATCAGACACTCCTATCTAGAGTCTATCATTTTCCATGTCCTATTGAAACTGACAAATTCAAAGTCAAAACAGACAGGGAAGCCGGACTGGTGGAGCACACTTGTCATCCCAGCTACTTGGGAGGCTGACTTGGGAGGATCACTTGAGCCTAGGAGTTCAAGAACAGCCTCAGCAACACAGGGCAACACCATCTCTACAAGAAATTTTAAAATTAGCTAGGCATGGTGGTACATACCTGTAGTCCCAGCTAGTCAGAAGGCTGAGATGGGAGGATCACTTGAGGCCAGGAGGTTAAGCCTGCACTGAATTGTGATTGTGCCACTACAGCCTCCAGACCCATCTTAAAAAAAAAAAAAAAAAAAAAAAAAAAAAAGGCCAGGTGCAGTGGTTCACACCTGTAATGCTAGCACTCTGGGAGGCCTAGGCGGGCAGATATCCTGAGCTCAGGAGTTAGAGACCAGCCTGGGCAACATGGCGAAACCCCATCTCTACTAAAAATACAAAAATTAGGTCAGGCACAGTGGCTAACACCTGTAATCACAGCACTTTGGGAGGCCAAGGCGGGTGGATCACGAGGTCAAGAGATTGAGACCATCCTGGCCAACATGGTGAAGCCCAGTCTCTACTAAAAAATACAAAAATTAGCTGGGTGTGGTGGCATGCACCTGTAGTCCCAGCTACTCGAGAGGCTGAGGCAGGAGAATTGCTTGAACCCAGGAGGCAGAGGTTGCAGTGAGCCAAGATCGTGCCACTGCACTCCAGCCTGGGTGACAGAGCAAGATGCTGTCTCGAAATAACAACAACAACAACAACAAACCAAAAATCAAAAAACAAAAAAATGATAATAATACAAAAATTAGCCGGGCATGGTGGCTCATGCCTGTAATCCCAGCCACTCAGGAGGCTGAGGCACAAGAATTGCTTGAACCCAGGAGATGAAGGTTGCAGTGAGCCAAGACTGCACCACTACACTCCAGCCTAGGCAAGAGACTCTGTCTCAAAAAAAAGAAGAAAAAAAAAAGTAAGAAAACAGATTTTACCTCCAAAAAGTGGGTTAAAGGTTAAAAGAAACCATGATGGGTTGCTGGAGGAAAGGTGAATCTTGTGAGCTCCGACTCTAGAGTGCGTCATGAATGAACAATGGTTTCCATCTATACTGTCTTGGGTGTGAATGCTAAGAGGCCCTCTTGCCACCCTAGTGTCTTCAACTTTGAAGACAATGGGTGGTTGGCAGTCATTCCTGCTCGAGGCTTAAGTTTCTTTTGCTCAAGGGTTAAGCTTTTTTTTTTTGAGACAGAGTCTCACTTTGTCATCCAGGCTATAGCACAGTAGCCCAATCTTGGCTCACTGCAACCTCTGCCTACTGGGTGCAAGCGATACTCCTACCTCAGTCTCCCAAGTAGGTGGGATTACAGGTGTGCACTACCAGTCCCGACTAATTTTTGTATTTTTAATAGAGATGGGTTTTTCACCATGTTGACCAGGCTGGTCTCAAACTCTTGACCTCAGCTGATCTGCACGCCCCCCCACACACACACTCAGCCTCCCAAAGCACTGGATTACAGGTGTGAGCCACAGCACCTGGCCTAAGGCTTAAAAGTCTTTCTGATGGCTTTTCAGAGGTAAATGAAACTTATACATAAGAATCTTTCAATTAGGGATCAGAATCACTAATGAGTGATGAAATAACTTTCATGGTTTATGATCAGCATTTATTAAATAAAATACAGAACAGAAAAAAACACAAATAAAATAGAGAAAAGAACATACCAGTGTACCTTATGACATTGTTTCATGAAGCTTGTGTTTCAGTTTTGTATGTGCATGTAATTGTGCTTGTGTGTGTACTGGGTACCAGTGTAAAATGTATTCGTGCTATGGATCTGGGTGAAAAACGTTTAAGTCATTAGTCCAGGCTTTTCCTCCATCCGTTTGTTAGGTGACATACAGCATAGTACAGTGGTGCCAGAATAACTATTTCACCTCAGTTCTTCAATCTTTATTTTTTTAATTTTGCTTTTGTTTCTGGGTTTTTGTTTTGTTTTGTTTCTGGGTTGTTTGTTTGTTTTTGTTTTTTACGCAGTTTTGCTCTTGTTGCTCAGGCTGACCTCCGCCTCCCGGGTTCAAGTGATTCTCCTGTCTCAGCCTCCTGAGCAGCTGGGATTACCCAAGCCCACCACTACGCCTGGCTAAATTCTTCGATCTTTAAAGTGAGGATAATAATAGTACCTACCGGCAGGGCGCGGTGGCTCACGCCTGCAGCCCCAGCACTTTGAGAGGCCAAGGCGGGCAGATCACGAGGTCAGGAGTTCTAGATTACCCTGGCCAACATGGTGAAACCCCATCTCTATTACAAATTTAGCCGGCTGTGGTGGCAGGTGCCTGAAATCCCAGCTACTCGGGAGGCTGAAGCCGGGAGGCAGAGGCTGCAGTGAGCCGAGCCAAGATCGTGCCACTGCACTCCAGCCTGGGTGACAGAGCAAGACTCTGCCGGCAGGTGGCAGGGGGCGGGGAGTACGGGGGTGGGGGTAGGGGGGTGGGAGGGACATAGCACCTACCTATAGGCTTGCTGAAAGTTAAATGGGTTAATATTTATAAAGGCTCTTACCACAGTGCCAGGCATTGTGCCCACGTGTCCACAGATATTTATTTTATTTTATTTTATTATTTTATTTATTTTTTTATTTTATTTTTATTTTTTGAGACGGAGTCTCACTCTTGTTACCCAGGCTGGAGTGCAATGGCGCGATCTCGGCTCACCGCAACCTCCGCCTCCTGGGTTCAGGCAATTCTCCTGCCTCAGCCTCCTGAGTAGCTGGGATTACAGGCAGGCACCACCATGCCCAGCTAATGTTTTGTATTTTTAGTAGAGAAGGGGTTTCACCATGTTGACCAGGATGGTCTCGATCTCTTGACCTCGTGATCCACCCGCCTCAGCCTCCCAAAGTGCTGGGATTACAGGCTTAAGCCACCGCGCCCGGCCTGTGTCCACAGATAAAAAGACGAATGAGACATAGCCCCAGCCTCAACGCACTTCGTTGTGGGGTTTTCTCTTTATTGGAAGGAGGGATTCACAAAATGTTTCTTTCAGGTCTTCCTCTTCGTAATCCTACACCTAGCTAGTAGCAAGAATGTCAGAGAAATGAGCCGAGGGCGTCCCCCGGTGGCGCAGCGTCGCCTTCGGTCTAAGGACTTGGGGCCAGGAGGCCTCTTGGCTTCGCACTACAACTCCCACCAGGCATCTCTCCTTCTCTGGCCTCTAATAGAGAGTGCGCCTTGTAGTCCAGCGCGAGGCAACTTCCATGCCTACTGCCGCGTAAACCGGAAAAACTACACCGCCCAGAATTGCGTCCGGGTCGACGCGGCGCTAGGCTTGCTGGGAGACGCATAACCCCGATTTTCTTCCGCCAGCCGGCTAAATAGTCCCATGTGCACGTTGTTCCACGGATAAATAAATGATAGGAACGCCTTCCAACCCTGTATTTCAGTAGAAATGCTAAACGTAAAGGAATATTTGAGTAAAGTGAGTGGCCGTTCTTGACGCCCGTCACCTAAAGATTCTCCCGGTGGGCGCGTAGGGATCTCTTACTATATAAGAGGGCCCTGCCGCTTGTCGCCTTCTTTCTCTGCTGCGAGCTTCCAAAATGGTGAGTCCTGACGCGTGGTTAGCGTGGGGGTCGGGTGCAGACTCTAGGATTGTGGAGATTTGAGATCCTGGGGCACTGAGGAGTGGGTAGAGTGTACGTTTGCTCCGGGGCTTGACGGGATTTGCGGAGGAACAGGAGATCCGAGCAGCGCCTTCCTGGAGGCTGCCAGTGCGGCTTGTGGCCATAAAGGGTCTGAGGCTGGGTAAGTTGCGCGGCCTTCCTAACACATTTTCCATCCTGATGCAGACAAAGAAAAGAAGGAACAACGGTCGTGCCAAAAAGGGCCGCGGCCATGTTCAGCCTATTCGCTGCACGAACTGTGCCCGATGCGTGCCGAAGGACAAGGCCATTAAGAAATTCGTCATTCGAAACATAGTGGAGGCCGCAGCAGTCAGGGATATTTCTGAAGCGAGCGTCTTTGATGGTGAGTGAGCCACCGGCGCGAACTGCGTGAGCATCTCAGTACCTAAAAGCTTTTCCCGAACCTCGACTTTCTACAGGCTCAGTTCGTTGGAGTCTCTCAGGCAATTTCCACGTATTTAAGGTGGTTGCTGGTAGAAGAGAACAGTGTAGTATATTTCCTTGTTTGTTGTTTTGATTCTTCTCTGGGCAGAGGGTGACTTTTTGTGATAGAGCACACAGCCTTTACTGTGAGGTAAAAGTTTGCTTGTTGCGGGTCTGAGACTCCAAAAAACACTAGGAATTTGGTACATTTGACATTGTTTTACTATTGATTATTTGTAGCATTAGAGTTGGTGTAGCTGTTGAAGGAACTGGATTCTCGATTTGTTGCATCCAGAGTGTTAGTCTGGTTCTTGTAGTGTCAAGATGAACTCACATGGGCTGTTACTCATTTGTAAAACTGAGGGTTGTACATCAGTTGCTTTGGGGGTACTTTTGTGTGCCTGACAGACTTTTAAGTAAGTTTAGCTTTACTTGATGTAAATATGTCGGATACTATTCGTTCATGTAACAAAAAAGCAAGGTAGGTATATGATACCCGTATAACTTTATTTTCTATTCCTTAGCCTATGTACTTCCCAAGCTCTATGTGAAGCTACATTACTGTGTGAGTTGTGCAATTCACAGCAAAGTAGTCAGGAATCGATCTCGTGAAGCCCGCAAGGACCGAACACCGCCACCCCGATTTAGACCTGCGGTGAGTATTTTAAAAGGAGACGAAACCAGGGGAGTGATGGTTTAAATTAAGACCTTTGCCTCAGATTAAGGTGTAAGGCAGGTGAGCCCCATGCCTGACACTGCAAAGCAGTGTTAGAATCAGAATTGGTTTTCAGGAAGCAGAGTAGTGTTCTTCCTCCACCTCTACCAGCTTCCAGTGCATTTGTAGCCTGAATAGATTGAGAGGATGGTAGTCAAGTTATTTGAGGGAAGGAAGTCTTGGATCTATGGTTTTTAATTTACTCTTTTGTTTTTTTTTCTTAGCTGCAGCACAGAACAAATTTACTCTTACTCCTTTGTCTTTCAGGGTGCTGCCCCACGACCCCCACCAAAACCCATGTAAGGAGCTGAGTAAAAGATTGAAGACAACTATTCCCTGGAGAAAAATAAAATGGAAATCGTACTTGATATTGCCTATTAAGTGTATCTGCGCCAGATAGGGTGGGGATTTTGTGTGTGTTAGACCAAGTGTGAAATAACAAGTAGTATTTTCATGGGGAAGAAAGCTTATTTATGTAATCAAATTTTTTTTTGTTGAGGGGGAAGGGTGGGGAATGGAATCTTGCTCTGTTGTCCAGGCTGGAATGCAATGGTGCTATCTCAGCTCATTGCAACCTCTGCCTCCTGGGTTCAAGCGATTCTCCTGCCTCGGCTTTCCAAGTAGCTAGTATTAGAGACGTGTGCCACCACACCCAGCTAATTTTTTGTATTTTTAGTAGAGGTGGGGTTTTACTATATTGGCCAGGCTGGTCTGGAACTCCTGACCTCAGATAATTCACCCCTTAGGCCTCCCGAAGTGCTGGGATTACAGGTGTGGGCCATCATGCCTGGCTATTCATTTAAATTAAACCTTGTTTGCAGTCATGTCCTTGGCCTCACAACTTGCATAGCTGTGTGAAATAAAAAGTTTAGGTATCTGTGACTGTTGCATTCATTCAACTGTGTCAATTTTAAGTTGACAGCCTAAAATTGGGTGAAGAGTAGGAGAATAAGGAAAAACAGTTGAGAGAGGAGCATATTGTGAAGTGACTGAAAATTGAGGTGTTTATACCTCTGGAGGGGGGACTTGAATAGTAGGTGGATGTCTTGGATAGCTTCAGAGCCTAAAAGGATACATGTTCAGATCCTTATTTTCCTACCTTGGAAAAAGACTCTAAAGGCAGTTTTAGAAACCTGAGACATCGCAGAAAGTATAGAGGCTCTACCTTACCTTACTTATGTGTGACAACAGTTTTGTCCTGGAATTCAGAGAAAAATACCTATTTGGGAGTAAATCATTCTTACTGCCAGTAAAAGGTAAAACCTATATAGCTTGGAGGTTTTAGACACTTTGGAGCCACCTGCACCCCTGTCCCCTTTTAAGTAGTTATGCCTCAACCTCCCGAATTGCTGGGATTACAGGCATGTGCCAGCTAATTTTTTTGGTAGAGATGGGGTTTCACCATGTTTGCCAGGCTGGTCTAGAACTCCTGACCTCAAGTGATCCGCCTACGTTGACCTCTCAAAAGTGCTGGTGGCGTAAGCCACCACACCCTGCCTAAGAAGGGTAGAGTATTTAAGTGTGGAGATTGTCCTGTTAATTGGAATGCACTCCCCCACAAAAGTTCCAGACAGGAACCACTGACCTGACTTGACCATCAATACACCATTGCATGCACTGGAATAGCTGTGGCAAATCCTGAGTTTATAAGAACACTAAATTTGGCAATATAAGTCCTTTAGGGAGACTCAAGTTATCAGTGCCCTTCCTTTTCACTTACTACACTGTAATAACCTGATCACACCACGGGTAAATAGGAAGTGACAGAAGAAAATTGGAGGTCCAAGGCAAAAATGGATGCTGAATCTGGCCCTAAATTCCAGCTTGTTCTGTATGACCAGATTCAAATACTAAATCATGGCTGTGGTTGTACTTAACAGAACTGATCAAGATTTCTCTTGAAGTATCTAGAAGCACAGCCTGTCACGTGGGTCCTAAACCTATTCTATGAGTTTACAAACACAACATACACTTCGTTCTAAGTATAGATTACGCTGTTTGATTCTGTCTCCAGGGATTCTTTCAAGAACCTAGCTGCTCCCAAACTTTTTTTTTTGAGCCTGAGTTTCGCTGTGTTGCCCAGGCTGGAATGCAGTGGCGTGATCTCGGCTCACTGCAGCTTCCGCCTCACAGGTTCAAGCAATTCTGCCTCAGCCGCCCGAGTAGCTGGGATTACAGGCACTTGCCACCGTGCCCAGCTAATTTTTGTATATTTAGTTGAGACGAGGTTTCATCATGTTGGCTAGGCGGGTCTCGAACTCCTGATCTCAAGGGATCTGTCTGCCTCAGCCTCCAAAAGTGTTGGGATTACAGGCGTGAGCCAGCGTGCCTGGCCAAGAATCTGCATTTTAATAGTTTTCCAAGTGATTGTGATGCAGCTGGCTGGCAGACTATACTGCAGAGCAGATGTGAAGGGAATGTTGACCTGAGGATTTTATTGGTGGTGAATCCTGGGTTCCAGAAAGCTGTGAAAAGGTTTCAGGAGATGGGTAAGAGTGCAAATGGGGTCAGAAAGGGCTGCATGGGAATTCGAATCAGAGATGCGGATTCAGCTGCAGTCCTGGGCTTCTGGTGACTGCATGAACAGGTGCAACTGAGCCCTGGTGAACATCATGCTCACAAGCTAAGTGTGCAGTGTGACCTGGAGTCCCAAGTCACACTACCTACAGATTCAAGGACGCTGACTTCACAGCTGCCTCCCAAGGCTATTTTCCTACCCTTTTCTCTCTGCTCTCTTGTCTCAGATCGGTGTTGCATTCATCATTTTTTTTTTTTTTTTTTTGAGACGGAGTTTCACTCATGTTACCCAGGCTGGAGTGCAATGGCATGATCTCGGCTCCCCGCAACCTCCGCCTCCTGGGTTCAGGCAATTCTCCTGCCTCAGCCTCCTGAGTAGCTGGGATTACA